TATTAGTTTCAAATCAGAGGCTAAATAAAAGCAATTTAAAATACTGAGCATATTGGTAATATTTTGATGAGACCAATCACCCAACAATCACATATCATCAGTATAGAGAAACTTTGACACACTTGGATTTCCAGATCTAACCTTTCCCTAAAAAAATTTGTTGTGACATGTCTTCAATAGTTACATGCAATCCTTCCATGTATAGGATAAAAAGGAAATGTGCCAATAGGTCACCACACATCATTCCTTTTCAATTGAAAAATCCTTAGATACACTAGCATTAACAAGAATTGAATATCTAGTTAAATGAAGACAAGTTCAAATCCAAGAGATCCATTTGAGTCAAAGCACATGAATTGCATAATTTTTTTCCATAAAATACCAACTTAGAGAATCATAAGCTTTATTAAAGTCAATTTTCAACACCATAATCTTCTTCTTTTTCTTATTGTATCAATCTAAAATTTCATTTACCATTAAAGGGTCATCAAGAATCTGGTGCACTTTAACAAACATCGACTGCTCCAAACTAACTATTGTGTCAACCGCCTACACAAGCCGAATAGTTAATAATTTTGCGATTATCTTATATTGAACGTTGATAAGATTAATAGGCCAAAATTATTAACCACCAACGAACTAGAGACTGTTGGAATCAACGTGACAAAGAATACTCTAACGAAATACAAGTCGTATGAAAGAAGTCATTGAAAATCTAAGCATGCAAGAGATCTCAATACTTTTTCAGAAAAGAAAAGTTCAAATCCATCAGGGTCCGAGGGCTTTATGATGTCATAATCTTAAACAACATAATTGGTTTCTTAATACGTGGTTTCTCTTATTTAGTATAAGTTTGTCTTTACAAATTATCTTATTTTCATATAACTACAAGACCTTTTCATATTACTTTCATGCAATTGGAAGAAAAAGATACAAGTTGTCTTCCGTGTCGCACCATGTGGTGGATGGTGGGACACGATCAACATTAAGGCAACTCCAACCACACTATATAATAGCGTTTTCCATTGAATTTATTTTTCAATCCTATTACTAACATAATTATTTTTGTGTTATTCTACAATGATTCACTAAAATAATCATATACAATAATTATCATCCATTAAAATAATATTTTACATAGATGAACAATCTCCCAACAATTTTGGTGAATCACTCTAGCATAGTACAGATAACGCGGAAAATCAGTTCAAATCGGCCAAATAACAATTTTGGTGAATCAAGGCCGGCCTTACTATGATTTTAATTAAGCTAGGGCTTAGGTCCCCACTTCTAAAGAGGCCCCATTTAACCCAAGGATTTTATACGTGTGCTCCTAGTCCGCTACTCCTTTTGTGGTATGCTACCCACGCCACATTACAAAAATTATATTCATTAGCCAAAATTGGTTCATTGAAAGTATCGATTCTTGAATCTTGTTACAAGTGAGCGCCATCGCCTGTTCTTTTCCCTTTTCTTCTTTGAATCTCAATTCTTTAAATTTGAAAACCGATCCCTGAAAAATACCTTTTGTTCTTCACGTCTTCTTCTCTTCCTAGTTCCTTCTTTGTTCTCTGATTGAATATTGATTGTCAATCCTCTAAAACATACATTCCGATTCTCCATTATTGATTGTTCAAAAGACTCAAAACTTCAAGTCTTCAAGGCTGTCAAGAAGACAATTAGACAAGAAGCCAAAAACTGTATTACTGAAACAATATGTACAGGTTTCCACTTTCCAGTTTGGAGTAATTGTGTTTTCCATCATCTGATTATGTATTAGGGTTAAATAATAGTCTATTTTAGGGTTATTTTTTTTAAAAAAAAAAATTATCCATTGTCTAATTATGATTCTCCATTTTTGAGTAATTGAATTTTCCATTATCTGATTATCAGATTATGTATTGTCCTTATTCAGGTTTGGAACGAATTTGGTTGGAATTTGAGTTTTCCATTATCTTCTATTTTCAAGAATGTGAAGAACTAACCGTGTCAAGCAGAAAAAGAAGATAATTTTGTTGATTTGTAGTTGTCTACTTGTTTTGGTTCTTTTCCAAATGTATATGTTATGTTAATTATTGTTACATTGCCCGTACGAAAAGAATTTTTTCTAAATTAAACTTGTTAAAAAATTATTTAAGATTTACAGTGTCACAAGAAATATTAAATGTATTAGTTATTTTGTCAATTAAAACACATTTAGCAAAAGAAATTGATTATGAAAATTTTACTAACGAATTTGCATCTAAAAATGCTAGAAAAATTAACTTTATGTCCTAAATATTTTCAATATATATATATATATATATATATATATATATAT